CTAGCTGTGGCTAGCTACAGCAGCTAGCCGTGGCTAGCCACAGCTAGCTGCAGCAGCTAGCTGTGGCTAGCCACAGCTAGCCACAGCTAGCTACGGCTAGCCACAGCTAGCCACAGCTAGCCATAGATAGCTACAGCTAGCCACAGCTAGCCACAGCTAGCTACAGCTAGCTACAGCTAGCCACCGCTAGCCACAGCTAGTTACAGCTAGCCACGGCTAGCTACAGCTAGCTACAGCTAGCCACAGCTAGCTACAGCTAGCCACAGCTAGTCACAGCTAGCCACAGCTAGCTGGAGCCAGCCACAGCTAGCCATGGCTAGCCACAGCTAGCTACACGTATCCACAGCTGGCCACAGCTAGCCACGGCTAACTACAGCTAGCCACAGCTGGCTACAGCTAGCCACAGCTAGCCACAGCTGGCTACAGCTAGCCACGGCCAACTACAGCTAGCCACAGCTAGCCACAGCTAGCTAGAGCCAGCCACAGCTAGCCATGGCTAGCCACAGCTAGCTATACGTATCCACAGCTAGCCACAGCTAGCCACGGCTAACAGCTAGCCACTCAGTCTGCAGGGGGCCGTTGGAGTGTACGTACACCGGGCGCGCGCAGCAGCGCACTAATTGAGAGCTGGCGCTCAGCCGAAAGAGCAGCTTCCCTCAAACCCTAAACCCTAAACCCTAAACCCTAAACCCTAAACCCTCGCAGCAAAGCTGAGCTCTAAACCCGCAGCCAGCAGCTTTGGAGCTGACCAACCCTAATCCCTCGCAGCAGATGCGGGCAGAGCTCCGTAAACCTAAACCCTAGCCCCAAACCCTAAACCCTAGCCCCAAACCCTAAACCCTAGCCGGAAGCCCTAACCCCAAACCCTAAACCCTACCCCCAAACCCTAAACCCTAGCCTTAAGCCCTAAGCCCAAACCCTAAACCCTAGCGCAAGCCCCTCCAGCCTTGGCGCCCACGGAACGGCTATGTGGGTCTTTTTGGCTTTTTAGCTGCAGCTGGCCGAATAGCACTGCAGCAGCAATGCGCAAAACCGCTGCTGCTGCTGCTGCTGCTGCTGCTGCTGCTGCTGCTGTGTGGAGCTGATGCCTAGCGTTTCGGCGTTCGTGCTCTTGCTGCTTCGGAGCACGAGGGGAGTCTGGGATGCAGCTGCTGCTGAACTGCAGCAGCAGCAGCTGCTGCTGGACTGCAGCAGCAGCAGCAGCTGTTGCTGCTGCTCTAAACAGCTCGTTTTTAGCTCCTGCCGTAAACCCTAAACCCCCTTTCAACGCCCAGCAGCAAACCCTAAACCCTCTCAGCAGCAAACCCTAAACCCTCTCAGCAGCAAACCCTAAGCCCTCTCAGCAGCAAACCCTAAAAACCCTCTCAGCAGCAAACCCTCGATCTAAACCCTAACCCTAAACCCTAAATGAACCCTCGGCTGCATCTGCAGCGCAGAACTGGGTGTTGCTGGCAGCAGCTAAAAATTAATTTGAAAACTAATTTTAAAATTAATTTTCAAATTAATTTTAAAATTAATTTAAAAAATAATTAAAGTCATCGGAATTAAATTCATCTGCTGGGATCTGTGGGGGCCCCCCGGGGCCTCGCTCACCGCCGATTGCTGCTGCTGCTGGGGGCCCCTGAGACAGCGGGGGGCCCCCAGCCCCTGCTGCTGCTGCTGCTGCTGCCTTATTGAATAATTTTAAGATTTAAAGTGTTGAACTGCACACGATAAAGACCTGCTGCAGCTGCACCTGCAGCAGCAACGACAGCAGCCACCCAGCAGCAGCAGCAATAGCAGCAGCAGCAAGCTGGTCCAGGCGCAGCAACTCTGGCTCGCTGCTCCAGCAGCACAAGCAGCACCAGGAGCAGCAGCAGCAGCAGCTGCTGCTGCTGCTGTGTAAGGCCTGCTGCTGCTGCTGCCAAGCCGCAGTGCGAGATGACGGCAGCGCCGTGATAAGAGGCTCGGCGGCGTTGCTGCAGCAGCAGCAGCAGCGGCAACAGCAGCGGTAGCTGCAGCAGTGGCAGCAGCTGCAGCTCCTGCTGCAGCCGCAGCAGCAGCAGCATGGTAACTGGACAGCGTCGTGACAAGACACGCCGCTCCCTGCTGCGCCCCCCAGCAGCAGCAGCAGCAGCAGCAGCAGCAGCAAGTTTTGCTTCCTGCTGCAGCTCCAAGCCAAACTTCTCTTAGCCATGACCCGCTGCAGAGGCCGCAGGCAAAGGCACAGGGGGCCCCTCCCCAGGGGGCCCCCCCCTGGAGGGTTTCCCCTGGGGCCCCCAATGGGGCCCCTCCCCATGGGGCCCCCCCTGGGGGCCCCCCTGGGGGCCCCCTTGGGGGCCCCCCTGGGCTTTCCCATGGGGGCCCCCCTGGGGCCCCTCTTGGGGCCCCCCGAGGGGCCCCTGGGGGGCCCCCACAGCTTCTCCCGCATGCAAGGGGGGCCCCCCATGCAGCTGTGCTCCCCTTTGGGGTGGCATGCAGCGCAGCAGCAGCTGGCGCTGCAGCAGCAGGCGCAGCAGCAGATGGAGCAGCAGCAGCGGCAGCAGCAGCACCTGCAGCAGCAGCACGCGGAGCAGCAGCAGAGGCTGCAGAGGCACGGCGAACTGCAGCACGAGCAGCAGCAGCAAATGCAGCAGCAAGGGCAGCAGGAGCACTCGCCCGAAGCAATGCACCGGCAGCTGCAGCTAAACTGGTCGCCGCAGCAGCAGCAGCAGCAGCAGCAGCAGCAAGCACGACTGCAGCAGCAGCAGCAGCAAGCTGGCCTGCAGCAGCAGCAGCACCAGCACACAGAGCAGCAAGTGCAGCAGCACTGGATGCAGCCGGCGCAGCTGCAGCACGAGCGGCAGCAGCAGCAGCACCTGCAGCAGCAGCAGCAGCAGCAGCAGGAGCAGCAAGAACAGCTCCAGTGGCTCGGCCATATACCCTCTGCCGTGGCTTCGTCGGCAACGCAGCAGCAGCAGCAGCAGCAGCAGCAGCAGCAGCTGCGGCTGCCGCAGCAATATTCCCGCGAGGGATCTCCGGAAGCGGGAGAGATACACCCAGGCTGCGATGCAGCATTTTGGCAGCAGCAGCAGCAGCAGCAGCCTTTAATGACGGCGAGCCGAGGAGCAGCAACAGCAGCAGCAGCAGCAGCAGCAGCAGCAGCAGCAGCAGACGCTGCAGCAGAGCTGCGCAGGCAGCAAGAGCTGTCGCTGCTGACTCCCGTGTCTTCTCTTTCGCCCATCAGCAGCGACGAGACAGCAGCAGATGAGGAGCTGCCTGCAGCAGCAGCAGCAGCAGCAGCAGCGGGAGCAGCAGCAGCTGCAGCAGGCTCAGCAGCAAGCGGTAAAGAGGCTTTACGGAGGACAGATGAAGCAGCAGAAGCAAGAGCTGCTGCTGCTGCTGCTAATGCTGCAGCAGCTGCTGCAGGGCCTGAGAGTGCGGGGTACCTGCACCCGTGGCAGCAGCAGGAGCAGCAGCAGCAGCAGCAGCACCGTCAGCAGCAGCAGCAGCACCTCCACCGGCCGTACACTCAACGACAAATGCGGCACGATCAGCCGCAGCAGCAGCAGCAGCAGCAGCAGCAGCAGCAGCTGCTGCTGCAGCCTCCGTTGGCAGCACTGCAGGAGCAGGAGTGGCATCTTGAGGGACAAGGACACGAAGCGAAGCAGTTTGTGTGGCAGAAGCAGCAGCAGCAGCTGTTGCAGCAGCAGCAGCAGCTGTTGCAGCAACAGCAGCAGCAGCAGCTGCAGCAGCAGCAGCAGCGTCAGGGGGAGGGTCTGCACCATCCTCAGGGGTCGCCGGAAGCAGCTGCTGCTCCCGAGGGTTTCGACTCTGAAGTAGAGACAGCAGCAGCAGCAGCAGCAGCAGCAGCAGCAGCAACAGCAGCAGCAGAGGGAGCAGCAGAAGACTCTGCAGCAAGCACTGGAGCAGGGGCTGCAGGAGCAGGAGAAGCAGAACACGGAGAACCAGCAGCAGCAGCAGCAGCAGCGGCAGCAGCAGCAGCAGAGGAGCTGCGCGGCCCAGCAGAGGAAGCAGCAGCAGCAGCAGCAGCAGCAGCAGCCTCAAGTGCTGCAGCGGAAGAGGAAGCTGCGGAGTCAACGGAGGAGGCCACGGAAGCAGCAGCAGCAGCAGCAGCGGAAGCAGAAGCAGCAGCAGCCAAAGCAGCAGCAGCAGCAGCAGCACTGGAGGCTTGCTGCCGCCGCCTTTGTGTGGGAAGAACCTGCGCGCTGCAGCAGCTTTCTAGGAAGCAAAGACAAGACTTGCAAAACACAAGAGTGGCCATTATTGGCGCAGGACTTTCGGGCATGAGGTGCATTTAGGGTTTAGGGTTTAGGGTTTAGGGTTTAGGGTTTAGGGTTTAGGGTTTAGGGTTTGGAGGAGGGGAGGGGTGGGGCTGAGACAAGACTTGCAAAACACAAGAGTGGCCATTATAGGCGCAGGACTTTCGGGCATGAGGTGCATTTAGGGTTTAGGGTTTAGGGTTTAGGGTTTAGGGTTTAGGGTTTAGGGTTTAGGC